AAAAACGTAGCAAATAATTTTTTTTAACTGATTCTGACTGTACCAAAATTAAATGCAGAACTAGAATAGTAGTTAGTTGGTTCCAAACATAAAAATGTTTAAAGTGTAGTGTGTCGATTTCTGCGTGTTCTTAATGTTCGTGATTATCTCGTATAGACAATCGTTACTAACTAGCGTCTGACGGTTTATAAATCAGGAAGGTGAACTAGAAGTATTGAATACGTTTATTTGGGACACACCACAAAGCTAAACGGAGACACAGCGAATAAGACGAAAGAAGCGACGTGAATTGGAGAAGGCTGTTGAGCCAACTGCAAGAGATAGAGCATGACTAAGATATATATGTCAGACTGACATGCGACAAGAGAAGTAGGAACACATAAATAAAAGCGACGAATAGTTGACAAGGTCAAATGACAAGTGGGACACGTCATGTGAGCTCATACAAACCAGACAATAATAAGAACGAATGGTACATATAAATTGTTGCAATACAAATGGCTTGGTTAAATAAATTAATCGAAAGGTCTTAACCAAATTAAATGTAAGCAAACTCGAATATACGTGGAGGCACTACAAAGCCATACATTGAAAGTATTTTAAATACTTGAGTAGATCCTTTAAATTGAGATCCAAAAATGGAAGTCAATGTATTAATGTTTATCTGTATTTTAGAAGTGATTGTGTAAATACATGAATGAACAAACTAATTTACATCAGTTTCTTTCATATCAGCCGTAAATAAAATTTAGAAAGATTTTTGATGAAATGACTTTTTGAAAATATATATTATAAAGTAAATTATATTTATAATTATAATTATTATAAACTACGCTATCAAGGTCAAAGGAAAAGAGGAAGGTGAAGGAACACACTAGTCCGAGAAATAGAGAAATACATGAGAAAAAAGAACAAAAACTGGAAAGAACTAGGAAGAGAAGCCCAGGACAGAGTGGGTTGGAGAAAACTGGTGGGCGGCCTATGCTCCATTGGGGGTAACAGGCGTAAGTAAGTAAGTAAGTAAGTAAGTAACGCTATCAGTTCATCTCATTTTTATTGTCACAACTTCAAAAGTTTGCTTTCGACTAATTTGAACAGACATTAATTTTAATTTATAATTTTTGTTTTCTGTATTTATCGGCTTATTACTTTACACATTTGAAATCATCAATCAATCATTGTTAGACCACCATTAGAAACCTGGAAGCACTTTAATTTGTGATACTTAGGTTTAAATCTAATCCCTGTTACATTTAAAGTGCATCATCCGTTTATTTAATGATGAATATTTATCATAGATTTTGAGCTATTATTAGGTGGTTAATCCTAATCCTTCTGACTAAAGCAAATCTATCCATCATAATCTCGATAAATGTTGGACTGTATCATTCATAGAAGCGTTATAAACTGAAATATGATGTGCAGATATAAGTATTCAAAGAGAAATTAATCAAGCGATAACAGTACATTATCATAAACTTACAAAGTTCAGTTACAAGCATAGGTGAATTGCGCTCAGTCTTATTTAAAACATCTAAAATCAATCAATAAAGAATTAAATTAGCTAATAAAAATAAACCATTCGATACAATGTTGACAGTTAAAAGTTAATTGTTAATAAGAAATCAGTTAAAATTGAAAATATAATGGGAAATTATAGTAGGTAATTGTAAGCAACTTATTACACTTCTTGAAGTAATCATTCATCTGAGAATAATCTGTACCTTGTTGTGGTTCTTAATTACGGCAGATATAAAGCCATACAACTTGACAATACAACCAAAAAGTTGAGTAACTCAACATTGCCATTAAGTTTACTGAATTTTCAATAGTTAAAAGTCATTTACTCCATGGTTTTTTGTTCATTGTAGTTTAAAACTTGTGATAAATTATTCATTACTGAATTATATAATTATGACTAAGAGAAAATTCTTGATTTTCTTAAACCTATCCACAATTCACGTCAGTGGATGTCAACAAATAAATATAAAAATTAAATTTTAATTTTTAAATAAACTATTTATTATAAGAACATGTAAAGCTAAAACCTAAAATGAAATATTTTCACAAACTTGTATCATTTGCATCAGCTAACAATTGACGAATATTCAAAGTGCATAAAATACTTTCTTTATCAATCATCAATGATGGTCTTCCAGAAGTATTGAATGAGCATGAGAGTACAACACAAGTTGAACATCTTTCAACACCGGCAGCTCGAAGATTTGCTCTGTTTAATGGTGATCCCTAAATTGTGTAATACAATCAATTGGAGGATAAAAATAATGCGTCTTTGTAAGTTTTTAAATAAACATAAGAATAACAGGTTTTCTAGTTACGTAAATGATGAATCGTACAAAGGCTAACAGCTACTTTGGTGTAGATGGCATATGTATTGTAAATGTTGAGTTAGAACAACCTTATATTAGTTTTCGTTACCTCTTTGAATTGTAAAAAGGTACATGCTGATTCATCTTATGTTTCTACTATTTACCGTGATTTGAGTGAGACTTCTCTCTCACTGTCAGTGATGTGCTTTTAGATAAGACACTTTCATTTTATGACTTTTCAGGATTTGAACTTTTACCGCGAAATCCACTTGTCTACTTGAAATATGCAGATGACATAATTCTATTTGGTGAAGACGCTGACAAAATCCAGTGTCTTCTGACTACCCTAAGCAACAATGCAAGCATGTCTGGGATGCAGTTTCCTCCCTCGAATGCAAAATGTTGCTTTGATGGTGACTGACGAAATCTCAGCACGGATACAGAAAGCTCGATCAGCTTTTGCCAATCGGCGTCACTTACGGTGAAAGCAAGATATCCGTTTGCTGACCAAAGGACGAGTGTACTATGCAGTAGTTCACTCCGTCCTACTTTATGACTACTCGTTTATCTTGGGTCAGTCGAGTGAACAATGCTGTTGTTAGGAAACAGGTACTAGGTAGGGATGTCAGATCAGCAGATGAAGTAATGAAACTTCATCAGTTGAGATGATTGCCCAACCACTGGACTATACTTCTTGAATAATATTTTTGAACCCTTAGTTATATTATTTCTACTACTATGTGATTTGAATTGACAACTCGATTTCTCCGTGCTAATGAGGCATGGAAAGTTGAACTAATGTACGTACGTTCAAAGTTATGTGTTGTTACTGACTGACTGAATCTCTCACAAATAATTTTTTGCAAAGAAATGATTTTATAAGTCACGTTTAATTCTCCAAAATACTTGCAACATAAAAATATGAATGTATTAGCTTCAATAAATATAATTTTTCAGATTATAAAAATATAATACGAGCTGTTTTCAATCATCACAAATTTGACTCCTTGTAACTGCTAATTGTACAAATCACAACGGGCAACCCAAAATGGTAATTGGCAGCATAATATAAGAAACGTTGGAGGTTATCAAAAAAGTAATTTTTTGATTATGTTACGAAAAAATAAAATCAATGGATATCCATTAAAATTTCTTGTGCTGTTTAAAACTATGGACTAAAGTTCTGATATTGTAAGTTCAAATCTTATATTCCAAACGTCACTTTATTAGCAGTTAAATCGAATCACCAATAGTTTCTGGGAAATTTTTAAATACGTAAACCAGTTTGGTCCCATTGGAAAAGGAAAACCCTGAGTGATTGTTCATAATATGGAAGAGTTTATGCGTTATGACTTTGCTAAGTATTTATGTTTTCCGGTTTACACTAAAAAGTCACGATAGAATTCTAAATGATCTTTAGACATGAGTATCTTATCCTAAAAGAGATGGTATGCTATATAGGTTGTCTAATTTACCAAAGGAAAAGTTTCAATAAGATCCTCGCAGACTTCTATCACAAAATTTCAAACAATAAATAAGTGTTTAACTGTATAAAGATTATATAAAACGAATATGGTGCTTAACATTGAAACACTGACTAATACGAAGCTAACGAACATCAAACTAATGTTGATAATAAACCCTACTCAGTATATTAGCCAAATTTATATCCAGTAGTGCCTAAACAAAATCAAATAAAAACATTTTTGTCATACTTGACTAAAACTAGTGGAATAACCAGATTATATTGACAAATGTATGTTATCTTGAAGAGTCGTACAAAGATCAACGAAACAACAGAGATTACTAGTTACTTGGTAATTTATTAATTGAAAATCTCCACTATGATATACTATTGCAGTTATCAATATCTTGTTGCTTTTGAGTATTAGTACCTATTAAATGGTATATTCCGACAATGAATAATTTTTCAGTAAGCATGAGATTTTTTCTGAAAAAAATTACCAAATCCTAAGATATTACTTCAGTAAGCTGACTTACTGAAAAAACATAGATATTTGGAAGATTTTTCAGCGATCGCCATTCATTTTCAATAACTTTAGCTTCACATAAAATAATGATTGGCTTCAATTCTTCAACGGGTATTGAAGTTGATCTCAGAGGAAGTACAAAAGTAGCTAAACCTAATTTTATTTCTTTCGGTTGTTTTGTGATGCATACAACGATGTGATTTTTAAACTGACATCGAATCATTTCTTTCATTGTCTGGAAAAGTAAATAAATTCTTCATGTTTTTCATTGATTTAAACCATGTAAAAAGCGTAATTTAACAGAGATAATAAAAGACATAAAGCAATAACTCCAGTAAATGCGTAATCAAGAGCTATAGACAGATTATCCCTTCAAGTTAAAATTTTTAATTATGTAATCGGAACCTACTTTCTCACTGACTAGGTTCGTGAAAGATGTAATATTTTCCTACCGTGATTAGATCAAATACTCATTGAGCCATACAGTTATGTATAGATATTAAAACATAAGTACAGACAAGTAATAAACGAGATGATAGTTTCAGCAATAATTTTCTGAGGCGTACTTACTGGTTGAGCATAAAACTATCCACAATGTATATACTTAAATCATTATACGTCTACATTTCAGTTTACAAACTGGATAGAACTGAATAGCATGCAATTCTACAAAGTTAGATCATAAAGCTGAAAATTACAATGAATTTATACATCCGAATTATGTTCAAGCCCTTTATTTTTTTGTTTGAGAGCTGCCTCTATAAACTAGAAACCATGAGTTCCTCCGAAATCTAGTTGCTGTTCTTTTAAAATATAGTAGATTACATTTTAACGATACTAGTTTTTTATGGAGTTGAAAAAAGTTTATGTGGAGTTAAATCTAACTGTCAACTAAGTACGACTTTCATGCAAGAACATTTAGCTCGATAAAAATAGTGATAACCAATGTACATGTAAATAGTTGGTTTGTTAGAGACGACAACGCACAATTATAACAATATCTTAAAGAAACTGAAACAAATAATATTGGAAATTAAATTGAAGCAACAATTTATTGGATCTCCTTTCACTTACCAAACATATATTTGAGAATTTTCGCTCAGTTACCCAATAAAACAAACCAGTACTATCACACTGTAAATCGATTGAATTCAATCTTTGTAGTTGTTCTAAATCAACTACTGAACTATCTGGATACGGATAACGATAATGCGAGTTCATTGAAAAACTACTTGCACATTTATGTACGTTTGATAAAAGTTTGGCCTTCCTGAAGTGTCAATAAGTTTGTTGTCCATAAAAACAGAAAGTAAATCGATGGAACACATGATTTAGCTTTGAAATTAGTTTATTAACGGTAGGAATTTTTTAAAATAATAAATTAGAGCAAAAGAACATTTACACGATATTACTTTTACGATTTTTAATTCAGTAATCTAGGATTATTTTAACTAACAGGACTTGATTGCTGAAACGGATAATCAGCAAATTGAATTATTAATATTATTTAAACAGTTAATTGCTACTTTACGTTTCATTGATTAGTGACTAAATTATCTGAAAAAAGTTGATTATTTGGTTATTATCGCTAAGATGAAAAATAGCATGACCCCTTGTGTTTGATTCGTCTAATTATGAGAAAACCTAAATAAACACAAGATCTGATTCCTACCCGTTTCTACTAACCCCACTCTAAATCTACATTACAACTTGAAACACGAGAAATGATGTGAGGTACGAGATCAGTTTATGTACAGAAGAATAAGGGTATTTCTAAAGCTACTGATAACCTAGTTTCGAGAACTATACTAAATATAGTGGTGGTATGGCCGAATATCCAATCACAATCGTGGCTCGTGATGCTGCGATGTTTCTCCAAAAGTTCCTTTCAGTGCTGCTTAGATGAAACAGTCCCTGGAGTCTCTGAGCCTTTAGAGACTTTTCCAAGGGATATTTCTGGGATCCCCAACATTTTATACCTCGAAGTAGACGAATTTTTTTTAACTCTGATGTTTTCTCTGACTGTTGGAATGAGCTTAAGTAGGACATGTTACTTAGCTTCGTACAGTCACATATTAAATCTATCCTGAATATCGTATACAGATGTAGATATCTATTTTAGAAGCTATGAGTGACAATAGCTATAGATTTAATTTTACTAATGATACTTTGTTTCTTGAGGACATAGAATTAGTGAATGTTTGTTTGATGAATCAAACATTTTTACTGGTAGATAAGGATTCCAATGAAGATGACATTTTATATTGTTTGAGATCCTGAAGATTTTCATCTAGCTAACTTTGAGGGTTATACAAAAAATAAAGCTGCTATGTTTTAAGATTAGCTTAATAGTGACCTGAAAGTCTATGACAATAACAGTGACATGCATCAAACGGTCTTTACCATTCTAAAAGCAGTTTAAATAATCTAAGTTTGAAACGGTTTATTAAGTGCTATCTAATCAAAGGTAGGTATTTACTAATTTTTTATTTTACGTGTAAAAAGTGACTCCAACAACCACTTGCTGTATGTAAAACCAATATTTTATGATCAGAATAGTATCTCGATAAAACTATTTCGTTTCCTATGCAATTTAAATTCACCCCAAGCCAGTCAAAATGAAAGTTGAATAACTTTTGAAAAACAGAATGTACCGAATAGGTATTTTATTTCCTAAAGCCTCTCAAGAACAGGAATATATCACTTTACTTAGGGTTTTACTTATTTCTCTGGCTTTGGAGCTTAGAATAGTTTTAGCCTACTGTGATGAATAATAAAAACGATTAATTTAAACTCCAATAAGATTATGATGTTTCCTATGACTTTATTATAGAACACTTATATGAGTATCGAGGCGAAAAATTCATCACAAATGTATTCCCTGATTTATGGTTACAGATTACCAGCTATTAGATATATGTGGATCAACTCTCAGAGATATCGATTTAAGATTGAATTGTTTCTGAATGAAATCTAGAGAGTTTACTGGTAACAGTAAACTTGCATAATTCAACAAACTTACAGAAACCGTAAAAAACTTTCCTTAATAAATCATTTTCCAATGTAAAATATTTCATTACCTAATTTTATTGTAAGTTTCAATCGGTTGTCGAAGAAAATCTAAACATATTTGAATTGTTTTAGCAAAACTTGCTGCAGTTGAAGAAAGCGTCTTCGACTGTTCGTATGTACTATCTGCAAAATAGTTGAAAGATACAAATAAATCCGCTTCATATCATAGTGGAACATAGCATAGATGTTTATATTTTTTAAACTGAAGGAAAACTATTTCAAACAATCTTGAACAACTGTTAAACTCAATAAAAAAGATTCTTTCAATAGACTAATGTTATCAGTTTAAATTATTTAAAACAATCACATGAATCATTAAATCACATATATCTCAGAAGTAATGTACGATATAAGTTATTTGACTACTTGTCAAACATAATACTTTTCGAATATTTAACTATTACGTCATGGTGTTATAGTATCATACCAACTGTTCAACCTCAAGTTGTCGCTATTAAGTTGGTTCACAACATTCACAGATAGGAAACATACATTCAAGAAGTCTTAGATAAGTGGTATGATATGAACTTTTATGGATAAAATATATGGGTGTTTTATTTATACTACTGACAGTTATTTCATTAATCAGTTAAAGATTTAGATTACCATATTATTTTCTAACTATAGGATTTCTCTAGTCATTTCCATGTCATAATATAAAACCAGCTTTGACAAAGTTAGTTTCGTGTAAATATTTTCAATGAATAACAACATTTCATCTTAATAAAGCTAAATGGGATAGATAATCACAAAATGACCTCATATATACTGAGAAAAGGATTGAAGTTACAAGGAAATTAGGATCACGGGCTAACAACTCATAGACTACCTAGTCTTACACAGAAATAGTTTATCTTATCTTTCAATATCACCGAATGTTTTGCTAAATTTTTTGTTTGATTATAAAATTTTATTGAATATACTTACCCTGATACCGAACAGGTGGCGAAAATGTGACTTGACCATAATTATCGAACATTATTTGACCGTCCATTGAGAAAGTCCTCAAGCTAATTAAAATGAAGAAGATCATCTTGATAGGAAGAATATTTTCAGTTAGAGTTATGGAGATTAGTGTTTTTACATATTTGAAATCATCAATCAATCATTTTTAGATCACCATTAGAAACTTGGAAGCACTGGACGGTCGTTTCGTCCTGGTATGGGACTCATCGGCCGTACGCATCCATGACTCCTGAACCTCTCAGGATTCGAACCCAGGACCTTCGATATTAAGCGCGAACGCCTAACCATTGGACCACTGGACCGGCATCCAACGGTGTTAATGTCTAACTCTGATTGATCTAGGAACTTTGCCCGATCTCAAATGTGTAGAAAGAATATTATCAAGTAAAGGGAATAAAGTATTTCTCTCGTTTAATATTTCTACCAAAACTTTCTAGTAGGCATAAGCTGTTACCACTTAACAGTTAGTAAGGTACTGTCTTTCAAATTTATTTGAAGAAGAATAAGATTTAAACGTTTGTATTCCTAATAAGCTAGTATCTGAAAGAGCCGACTCTATGTGAATTTCAACTTAATAATTTTAGTTTCATCACTAAATTCTTTTCAAATCACAGAAACGTTTTAGACTGGTGAGTGATAGTAGTAGTAGTTGTAGTAGCAGCTGGAAGTAAATTCAAGACGAATGGAAAGTATCCATAAGAAAAAGTGGATAATACTGTAGAATCGTGTGTACAAGTCAGATTAATCGTTTAGCGAAATAAAATATACGACAATGACCTCTAGCATGTACATTGTGTTGTAAACTTTAGGAAAGTTCTTTAGAGTTTCTTTCTAAAGCATAATATCATTTTACTGAGAATAGAGAATAAGATTCACTATACTTTATCATGATAGTTTATTCTTGAGTCTGTCTCCAGAAATTTGACATGAAGTAAATGTCAACTGAGTATTGGATTTTTGAGTCCTTATTTTCTCAGGCCTAAAACTGTCCGACTTATAACCGCAGTTGCTGTCAGATATTAAAATACGATTCCATGTAGATAAAATTTAGCCACACAGTGTTTTCGTGTGGGAACCAACGACAGCAATCTGTGGTTTAAGCCAAGGTTGATAGAACAACTCTCATACCTACTATCCATTGATTGAAATCCGTGTTTCAGATATCCATCGGAATTCGCACAGCTAATAAGGTTTGCAAATTATCTGTATACCTGGTAATCAGTTAACTGGCTTTTAAAACTAATCATTTGCTTACTAACCCAAGAAAAAACATATAAACTAGGTGAAAAATTTCAACTTCAGGTTTAATTTCGAATAAAAGTTAGTAATAAAAATGATTTACCGTTGTGCTTCAATTAAAGTTTTAGCCAAAACAACTGCACGCATTCGATAAGTATTAATTCGTACCCGTACACCTGGATTGATAATCATTTGCGTTCTCTTATCATTATCAGTATAAACTTGTACAGCTAACAAAAGTACACCCCAAAATTCCATGGCTAAGCTAAATATGAATATATTACGAAAATTCATGGAACGAAATACTGTAAACAAAAAATGTTTAGGCAAAAAAGTTGTTTACACTTATCTTATTTCTAAATTGATTTATAACTACTTTTCATCATTGAAAGGCGGCTGGAAAAATGATGATTACAGAAAATCATGTTACTGAATAAATCATCATTTGTGCATAATCAAAGAAACTTTAAAACTGAAAAAACCTCTGAAACATTTGATAAAGGACGCTCCATGTTCGTGACATGAAAAGTAACAGACTTAAACAACGATGTATCACTATCGATTAGTCTACTTAATAGTCAACAGAAGCTGATCTGCACAGAAAGTAAATTCCCTTTTTTATATAAATGTGACATTCATTCATAATTACAGAGAAGCATTCTACCCATGGTCGTTAAAATAGAACCTTTTGGTATTTGAAGAAATGTATTAACTGATTCTCATAGAGCTTCATCCTATTTCTTATTGTTTAATAATTTTTACATGCTTGAAAAAGTAATTAAAATGACGTAAAAAGATAGTTCAGATTATTTTTAATTCAATTTAAATGAATTACTTTGAACATATTATTCAATGATGTTAACGCTGTATTAAACCAAATTTTCAATTAGTAATTCAGATAGATTGCTTTCTCTTAAAGTAGAAATATATGTAAGAATATTTAATTTACTTACCAAACAAAAGATCACTCACCCAACTAATTGTTGAAACAACATCCCATCGAATGCATGAGAAAATTTCACAGTATATAATTTATATTTTGTACCTTGAAAATATTCATTTATCCATTGAGGTAAAGTTTTCTATCGAAAAAGAAAAGATAATCACAATGATGAATAACTTTATGATATAATTTGTAGGACTATCATGAAGTAAGACAAAATTGTCAAAATTGTCTTATATTACTAAATATTGTAAGTTACATGGTATAAAAAAAATCATTTGGATATGAGATCTGACTCCGATTTGGAAGAAAGACTGAATATTCTATGAAATAAATCTTTCGACGAATTTCTGTATATTATTCTTAAACGAACCCCGTCTGTGCGATGGAGGTAATTAAAAGCCCACCACGGTTTTATGTGAATGATGTCCAAAGGTTGGAACAAGCCATGTGGACTCGACATATTAGAATTCACTGCACAATTTTTATAATAGCTGAGAATCGGTTGGCAAGCATGTGTCAGGAATAATGAATGAATTGATGGCCACCATAGATGAATGAAAAATGAAGAAAATCGAACACTAACTAATACGGTAATGAGTCATTACAAAATTTGTAATATTCCTAAAATTATTCAATCCTCCAATCTTTCATAGATAGGGTAATAATATTTCAACAAGGATTCACTAAAGTTTCTTATGAAAAAGGCTATTAAAAATTTTAACTTCAGCTTATCAGCTATAAGTCATAAAAGATTAGAAGTTATGAAAAGTTGTAACAGTCAAGTTTAATTTGTTCTGTAGAAACCATTTCTAATGAAAACAAGGTTCAGTATTGCTAGTTGAAAGTTAAATATGTTAATCTACGCAGATTACTTTGGATAATCTTTTGATTATAAATTAGAATAGTATTAATTCATTTTCATTTTAACACTTTCTTCACTAACAGTTGTTGTTGCGTTCGTCACTAGGCACGCTTGAAGCTATTACGAGTTCACCTTAGTCGATAAACACGAACGATACAATTACCAGCTTCCAGGTAGGCTACCTTGAATCCCAAACTGCAAAACAGAAGTCTTAATAAGTGTAGAAAGTATATTCTACAACACCCAGCAATCACAATACAATCAAGCACACAACTCTAGTTTATTTATACATCATAGAAACGTCCTTGAAACAGTCACAAAAATAGCACACTAAAATACACAGCAGCCAATCACAGCCATGGATTTTCCTAGTGGGAAATGAAATCTCAAGGTCAACTGATCAGCCCATGCTGGCAAACGTGAAATCCAAAACAAGGCATTTATCAAGCGAGTTCTGGGGATCTAACATCCCCAACAGTTGTACACTTTATGGTCTTGTAATCACTACATTATTCCTCAGAGTTAACATGACCAGGCTGAAAATTGTTATGATCGAACTCAGCACGTCAAAAAATGCTCAATAACAAATAATGATTAGAAATCTTGTTAAATTCAAAACAACTAGGTGTTTAATTACTTAAAAAACCAAAGGAATCAAAGGTTTCATATAAACAGACACTTATATGATCGAAAAGAGAATAGAAAACGAAAGATGGTAACTTCTGAATGCACATAGACTGAATTGATTTCTATGAAGCAGATAATCTGTTTTATAATTAATAATATTCTATATAAGTGACAATCATCCGTCAGAACTGAGTCTCAAATTCTAGATATGATTTCATTAGGTATCTAAAGCTGTATATGCTGTCTTTATAAAATCCACCACTTAAAGTATGAACAACAAGCACAAAGCACATCTTTCAAACTTCTGGTGTTTAAAAAATATCAGCATCAAAGATAATTAAAAAAAACAAAGTAATATTTCAATTATTAAGTCAGTAACTAACTCTAACTGAAGCTGTTGGTGCTGAATCACGCATTATAAAATTGCATAACAGAGTTGATATCCCATCTGATAAACAATTTAATGCCAGTAGGCCTAGTTTCATTTTTGTTAAACAAATAGCTCTATCGAACTGATCACTTTCGTATTCTTTCCATCCAGGTATATTAGACATCCATGCCTGTGTTTTAAAAAGATATGATAAAAGATAGTATGAAAGAAGAATCTGATGAAATGATAACATTTAATTAACATGAAAATGTAAACTAAAAATAACGAATAGCCAATTAATTGAAATTCCTATCCATTTCACCAACTTGAATACTTCATTCGTCTCTGAAACTATGGACTAAGTGGTAGGTACTTATCAGTTAAATTAAATATTATCGATGTTATGCTTATATTTTCAGCTGGAGTTTTGGAGATTTGCGTTTTTTTACACATTTGAAATCATGAATCAATCATTTTTAGACAACCATTAGAAACCTGGAAGCACTGGACGGCTGCTTCGTTCTGGTATGGGACTCATCAGCAATGGGCATCCACGACTCCTGCACCTCACAGGATTCGATCCCGGGACCTTAGGTATTGTGAGCAAAAAGTAGAATAGAAACAGTTTTATTCATTTTAAACATCAGACTTGTACACCTACGCAAACCTGCGATTATGCTACAAATTTACATTTTTCGTAAATCAAAGCCTACACTAAAACTAGAATAAAGTCAAACGATAATGTGACAATAAAATATGCTCTCTTAATCCTATTAATTATCTTAAGCTGAATCATATGATTAATAATGGACTAGTTAAACTCGCTAGACGATTTACACAACAACTAACAGCTACATTGATTCATACACCATACAGATTATGTAATTTATCGCAGGAACTAAACCCCACATAAGAATTTATTCATTCACGTTTGTGACTGGTTTGACTTAAAGACTAGTGTTTGAAATATATAATATATTCGCTTTCTTTTCATGTTTTAACTAAGCCATTTTTACATTCATAAATGTTCATTCAACTAACCAAAGGTTCTGATTTCTGCGGTCCATTTAATAACATTATTTTAACAGTCAATCGTTTGGTAATAATAATAATAAGTTTAGACATACCTTACTTTCAATTAACATAAGTTCACAAATTATTCGAATATTTGGATATAGATTTTTAATAGAAATAACACACATTAAATTTTTCCAGTCATCTTCAGCAGGGGTTTGACTGTATATGTTGGAAAGAATAATCACAGCTTCAGCAGTTCTCACCTTGTAAAATCAAGAAGTAAAAGAATTGACTTAAAAAGCAGTAGAACACAAATGAATGCTTACATTTATTTTTTTAAAGCATGAATAAAAGATAAAGGATTGATAAATACTGCAATAACATTACTGATTAAATAGAAACATGAATAAGTACAGTGATCTAACAGAAACTGGAAGACAAGCTGAGCAACAGTTACACGTATTATAATAAGAAATCTCGTTGGTTTCTCGTGTTTCATAAATCTAAATGTGTATACACAAGTAGATTTTCGTAGAAACATGAAAAAGACTCACTATCAAGAACTATAACCTCAAGTATTAACTATCGTAACTAAAAAGACTGATAGAAAATAAAGGAAATATTAGAACGTATTCAAGGAAAATGTATTGTGAAGAATTAGTTTCAGTTTGTTAAATATCACAGGTTATAAGCAGCTGGAGAGGAGCAAACAAAATAAAATGAACTGATATTATTCTGCCCAAATCTTTTTTCTCTTCAGGGTGATAAAGGGAACTATGTGTGTGATAAATGTTTAGTCACATATTTGATATTCATTATTCTAGTGAGTAGGGTTAACACTCAAATCCATTATTCATGGCTTTGATCTTGGAAAGAACTCCTACATTCATGTGAACTCACTTGCTCAGTTCAAAACTATTTGAAATTTTTATTCTGAATTATACTTCTATACTTCAACAGAATACCATATTCTGGATAAAAATCACATATTTAACTCGTTCTCTTGCTTTAAGAGGCTGTATTTTATGATGTTTAAGAAATGATGAGCTTAAAAAGCGGGCAAGCTGACTGAATTTAAAAATGTGACTTACTTTAGCTCTTTCTAAATCTTCTGGTAAGGTCACAGATCCCTTCAGAAACCTCATTGTAGTGCTTTCTCTCTGAAGTAATGCCGTTAGACTAATATCAGGATCGATCCTACGAAAGTTAAAAAAACAGCATTCTTACCTCATAAATTATATCAAGTTCAGTATGTTGTTAGATAGTAATCGGTTTCTTGAATGTAAGATACATTGTCAAATGACTTATCTGGTAACCTAACACGACGTTTATGTATATCACTTAAGTATTACGCTGATGTACCTTGACTGAATACTTTTCTTGGCCAGAGCACGAAACGGAACAATTACTCATTGGACAATGAAAAAAATGGTCTTATTTAAATTTCACTGTAACATTCAGTGTGGCTTTTAAACATTCGATTATTACTTTATTTATATTTTTAAAAATTCTCCTATAACCCTACATTATAGACACAGTCTTTATCAGAGGCAATCAACAAAACATACTGAGTCACTTGGAAAGTTGCAGCTTCGTAGAATATATTTACATGATGCCATTTTTGGAAGTCTCACTGATGCAGTTTTAGCTTTTAACATATATGGTGGTCTATAGTGATTCATATCAATGGTCCTGGAACAGTGCTGATTTTGAAAGTATTCATCGAAGTATATTCAAACCATCGTTGATTGTATCCACAATGCTTTCTCGACATGAAATGGATGAAGAATCTCTACTGGTTTAGTCCCAATATAAGTTCCAAATAAGTCCTCTGTAATCATATTTTTATTTTAATAAAACATCAAAGTAAGATTTTAACTTTTCCTCTGATTTTGATGTAAACGGAATCAAATGATGTTATTAATCGAAGTCCTGAAGACTGTCAATAGGTTTACTGCTTCGTCAGATAATAGTGTTGCTTATAAATCTCTTCCAAATGAAGGTTATCGACTGTTAACAGAAGAATAGTATGCATCAGTTAGTAGTATGTTAGAGCACACAACTGAGTACTGTCATAAAGGCTCTCAGTTACAGTCATCAGTAAATTAGTATCTCCTTGTATCAACAGCTGTTTAACCTCTTGCAACAGGTCAGGTATTCATAGTCAAAACTATTTACCAGTCGCTTAACAGCTCGAAACTCTATTTCTTTTTCATTTTAAATAGTATTATTGAAAGTGATCTATCAATTTCTTCCATCTAATTTTTACTTATGTTTAATTTGTTTGTAGATCAAAAGTAACCGGTTATAACTGCTCTGTATGGAGAGTGTTTTTAGTGAATAACTAAGTTTTCTAGTCACTACTCACAAATCCGGTAGAAAATACAACACTTATTTCTCTAAATGTTGGTTATTAGTGTCTTTGGCAAAGTAGTTTTGAAATGCTTTCATTGAATCGGCTCTCTAGTTAATTATAACTGCTAGGGTTAGAGACAATTTAATTTTTAAAAGCAAAAGCAATTTACTAAGTCGATAAACAACATTTTCACCATCTAACTTACTCTGACAGGATAACAATCATCATATTTTCATCATAATGGCCTTTGTCAGCATTTACATATTCCTCAAAAAATATTGATATTGTACTGTAGTTTATGCATCCACATACAACGATGTGCCTGAAAAGTGAAAAGTACATAAATAAATCAGTATTATAATGCAGTAGTTAAATACCTGAATCTTTTATCAGGTTTTAGACTCAAATTCTTCGATTAAAATGCTACATGATTTTAGGCAGATGTATTGATCCTGAAAATATACTGTCTGCCACTATGCAAGATTAATTCCGTTGTCATCCAACTTTATGTAGGTACTCACAAAATGAGAAACACTGAAATTTAACTGAAATAGATAAACTAAAAAGATACTTAAAATAATACTTTTATTTTTAAGAAAATATATTACTCATGTAGCCCTACGTAAGTAGTTGATTCATTTTCATTTGTTAATATGTAGGTAACCAGACACTTTTTGTAACCGGGTTGTTCAGCTTTCCAATCAATTTAAATATTACATATTAGAACTGTAAAAGAAACAATTATCTCGTTAAATCATTAAACACATCAAAATTAGAACTGAGTAGTAATGTCAACGTTCATAAACCTCACATTATTCAAGCAGTGTTTACCTGTGATAACTGAGACTAAATAGAAAAACTGAAAACTTGTGTTATATTTATTTATTATTTGATTAAACTTTTAGAACACTAGAAAGTGTTTTGTGTTTCAATGCTTGTTTGATCAAGTGACAACAAAGATAACTTGCTAACAATCAGTGTGATTTAACAGTTTTGAAATTTAAATTATACATATCAAATGATTCAGAAGTTTTATTTAGATAAAAAATATAACTTATATCAAAGCTAATATTCAACATTTATTAAGTTGACAGAATGAAAATTACACAATGAAAATATAACTACCCACTACTTATAGATGAAGAAACATAGTTACCTTGAAATTAATGTTTCGGTAGAATCGTCCTAACTACAACACACATAACCCACTTAGTTGCTTCTATAAATAATGAAAATAATGCCGTATGATTTGTGCCAAAGTTTGGGTATTACATGATTTTCTATGATAGATAGATCGTTTGTGGAAATTCGTCTTTATATACAGATTATTGATTTTTTAGTGAATAGTGTGACATATGAGGGAAACTGATGCGGGGCTGATTGAATTGGAGAATTTAGACTTGTGTCTTCCAACTTACTGAAATGAAGGTATCGTATATATTATTATACGTAAAGATCCTGAATACAGACACATTTGTTGCTTTGACTATACATCTGAAGTGGAAAACTTCTACGCAGAAAACGCGATTGGTGAAAAATAAACATTTATTATTGTACTCCTTTTGTTAAACTGTTTTAAAAACACTTACTTGCTCGCAAACTTCTTTTTTGCGTTACTGCCACCATTTATAACTTGCTGCTCAATATACCGCCCTCTTTCTCCTTCAAATATATTCTTTACCCTGGATTTACTTCTGATTATCGTGACGGGATAGAAATTAGTATTTAGAGGTGATCATAGTCAACCTCGACTCGGTCACCACATTAATTAAAAGTCACAAGCTAGGACTAATTACCTACTAAATACTCCTCAATTTTCACTGGTCCTCAAAGCGACATCATTTTGTTAAACAATCTATATCTGAATATATGTGGATTTCGGCAGTGAACTTGAAAGCTGATATTATCCAATGAGATAACTACTAACTTAAATGTAAAGAGTTGGGTTAGAGTGAATAACATTGTCTAATAAAGTAGTTTCTGCTTAATTTGTGTCCTTTATCTTGGCTATTAGGTTCATTAAATGTAAGTCAATTTAAACACAGTTTGATACTCACAAAAATTATTATATGTCACATGTTGACTATCACACGACTGTGAAATAAGTACTGAAACTATTGAAACTATCATAACAGATTAAAAAAATAAGTCCATTTAGCAGAACAATTAATCACAACTCTATCAGTTATTGATTAATGAAACTAATTATATGGTAGTTCAATAACAAAAAACCACACAATCATTTCAACAAAGCTTTTTCTGTCTAGAGTGCCATTACAAAGTTCTAAGTCAAATAAGTCAACATGTGACAACTAAATAATTTTTCAGTAATTATTCACTTGTTTTGAAAGTTGATAAAGTCAGTCAGTTGGTTTAAACGCAGAATAAGTTGCCATAATTCATTAACACTGAGAGATTATAACATTGTCAGACCAGATATTAAAGTGGTAAAGGTAATAACTCTAAGGTTGATGATTGAAAGGATTATCAAGTGCTAAATGTGGATGTATTTCCATTGGTAGTTCTTTTCCCAACCTATAACCAAGTATAAATGGTAAGGTGATATCGAAGTATCGAGGGTGCTCTCACAATTCACTCTTCTGAGAACCAGTCTCGAAACAGAGTGTGGATGCGTAATTTGTAACTTCAGCGACAACGAGTCGCATATTTTAATACGCAAATTGTGTGCCCTATCACTCAATCCGGGCTTGGAACTGTCAGTAGCTCCAGAAGGGCTCCCGGTTGAGTTTCACTACTAGACCACTACAATTTCGTTCTTAGTAGTGTGTGCATGAAGGATAAATTAAGTCTGGAATCGGCTCAGAGGCAATTTACACTTTACATTTTTGCGACTGATTGTGCAGTAAACTATAAATCCAGATGTAATTAACTTAAAATCAATCTTTTTTGAAAGCGGAGACTTAAACAAAATCTAATCTTTTTCTTCACTATACTTAATAAACTATCTTTGGAATCCAATCTGGCAACTCAATATTCAGAAACTTCTAGCTATAGAATCCGTAACAATTTATTATTAATGAAACGATTTCATTCTAAATCCCCTCTCTATGGCGTTAATAATCACTGTGTTATGGCACTGAAAATGACCTTGAATACACCAGTCACACATCAACACGATGTTCACTTAAAGCGAGTTAGTGTTTCGCTACTGCTGCTTCACAATGATCTAATCCATGTGAAAAATGTACTGCCTAAACAACTGTTGAACCATAACAATGCAAAAAATCTAATTTCAAATATCTGTCCTAAATATTTTTTTCATATCAAAATGATTATGCTTGTAAGCCGGTAAGAATTCTGCATCCATTTTCAGAATATATATGGACTAAGTACTTAATTTCTGCTAAATTTTAATGAATGTTCAGATCAATAGAGAAAATATAATTAACTATCTTCAAATTGACTAAACAGATATTTGTATGCGAAACTACGTTGTTTTCAGTTTTACTGTAGAGCTATCATTAAAAGTCATCATGTTCATCTTTTATGTCATAGAATAATATCTCATTGTTCTATTAGACCATTTATTTAATGCGACCGGACGTGACTTTCACAATTGGTAATAGAACTTTTTTTAATTACATCATTAATAAAATTATCATAAAACGTGACAGAGTTTCCGTTTATGAGCTATTCGTATTCTTTCTAACCATATGATTGCTAGATTTTATCTCAAATATTTATTTTGACGTTCGATTTTTGTATAAGCTATCATTTGAACTGCTTTGATTTTAGAAATAAATCACAATCAGCTCATAAAAGTCAACTTAATTTATGAAACTACTATTAATTGTTTGGTTTCGTTCATAAAATCATCTTACGATTTTTGTTGGTGCCTAATGGACATTTTGATGACTTGTGAGTTTTCATTCGGATTAAAAACTTGAGGTTAGGAAACGGGTGTTAGGTAAGGATGGTAAATCAACTGATAAAGTAGTAAATCTTTATCATCTGAGGTGGTAGGGACAAGTATTATGTATGTCTAACCACTGACTACCTCGACGAGCGATGTTGTCTGATATAGAAGCGGCTGTAAGAAGGCTAGGGGTGATCAGACCAAAACATGGAAAAAATCCATAAAGTCACTGATAACTAGACTGAGCCATGTTACTAGGTGTAGACTACCTGATTAGGGTCCACGAAACAATCGTAACCAATGGTCAGAGACAGTGAATGACGTGACTCTAAATCGTTTGCAGTGGCACAGGTGCATCCATTCTCTGTCTTCTCTCAAATCCTACTCTTCTGAATTGGTCACGACTGTTTTTTTTCTCTTTCCAAATTTATTTCACTGGATTATATTTCTTAAATAATATCTTCGATCGTTAGTCCTTACCATTACTACCAACACCTCTATTTCTCTGACATTTGAACTGACAATTCAATTTCTAGTTGCTAATGTGCTAAGGAAACTTGAATTGATGTACATACGTACGAAGTTCCAAGTTGTAGCTGACTAGGTGGCTGTTATTGAAAATTACTATAAACACTTTGAAAGATTTTTGACCTACAAAACTTACGTTTCTGATTCTGGTCAATTTTCATTGAATCTAAATGTTTGTGTTTAACTATGCCTGCTATTTAAACAACTTTAGTATTTTTCGTTAGACCTGGAGATAAAGTTTAAGGGTATGACGAAATATAAATTGAAAAAATAGTTAGTAATTTTAGCATCATCGAAATACATGCTCAGTATACTTTGGTGCACACTCTTCTTGCGTAAATATTACGAACACTCGAACACAAATTAATTCCCTATGTAATCACACTACAAATTAACTTTAAACTAGTGATAACATGATTACTAGAGAAAATTGTTTTTCAGATTGTAATCGCGACATAAAATATATGCGACAGGTTTAAGGAGTGCAAAGCGAAAAGTAGTAAAACAAAGCTACCCATTAATAATGTGGGGGCGATTGTGAATGGTAAGTTTGTATAACAGCTGTTTTTGATGTTATTCAAAACAGATAGGAAGTATAATGTTAAATGTGTTGTTTCCTCATCTTGTTTCTGGTATAATTTCAAGCTAAACTTCATCGACTACGGTTTGTTGAACATTTTTTAATAAGAATATCAATATAAATGTATGGAGTTTGTAGCTGACAAGAAACCTTGTAGTAGAATGAATTCATATTATTCTAGAGATTTTTTCTTCTTGTTTTATTCAAGTTTATCAAGGGACTTGGATGTATGTACATAATAGTGACATTGTTAATAATAATAATAATAATAATACTAGTGAAAATAAATCAGTGAACCAACATAAGTGAAAAACAGATGATTTTTGAATTAGGTAAATCCAAGCCACGAAAATACAAGGAAACGTTTTCATGTACATTAATTAAACGAGATAATCCTATGACTTGAATGACTGCCTACTAATTGAGCCGAAATTTAGTCAAAATACTAAGGTCTCGTGAATATATTTCTTCACACATAATACCCAAGTTTTCTTTTATCCACTTTTACCACTATTACCATTTGAAGGACTTGTAATTTGACAAACTTCAGAAGCTGATTACCACCTTGATAGATTACTATAAATTACTGAGTAAATAGTCTACATAACAGGTTTTGACCGATTATGATCAAGATTTCGATCATTTTTACTACACCATTCCTTAACTATGCTGGAAGATGTTCACGAGTACTGGGTAAGTAAATTCCTAGAACACCAACGGATATAAATAGCGCCAAATGGGCAGTTAAATAGATAAAAACAAAAAAGAGGTGCTTAGATTTCAGCAATTTATCTGTCAGTTTTGGTATTGTTATCGAATGGGTAGAAAATCGAGGTTTTAATTTTCTCATATCGAACATTTTCTGGATTGTTGTGATCAACCTAATCATTAGTATTCCACCGTATACGCCATCTCTAAATGGAATGGATCACTATAGCAACTGTTTGTTTACCGACTGGATTTTATTTAATATTATGTTTATCAATTTTAAAAGATTTATTTTTCTTAAACTTGGATTTATAACTTTAGAACCCGGTGTCAATTCCATCTGTTTACTGATTGATTCACTAAGCCAATCAAATTCATTTAATCAAACCTTTATTATTGCAATACAAATTGAAAAATGTACTCACCTTGGATTGTGTTCCATATAGATAACTTTATTATATTGATTGTGTTGTTGAAACAATTCACTGAGTTCCGACACATGTGTTGTTACTGATATCTATTTCATAAATAAAAGTATAGCTTTACTATAAGTTGAAAACAAGAGTTTAATAAAAAGAAAACTCAAATTTGATCTCAATACGTAAAATATTAAAAAAAAAAGTTATTTCCTATAGAGAATGAACGTAACGGGAGTTTAAAAACAATAACAGGTGACTATCTCAAAGAATGTGCATTTTTCAAGGTTGTCCGATTATTATTTTAAAGAGATCACTTCTATTTTAACCTGTTCGTACAGAAAATAACTTTAACCGGTTGACTTGTGTTAGATAGATACTTTTATTAAAGTTTATTTATTCTTCGGCTTGTCAAAATATTATTTAACTAATAGGATTGATATAGTATGATTTTAGATGAAAATGTTATTATCGGTCAATAAGCTTGCTACTCTCTGAACTCAAGTTATTAGAAGTAATGATTTCAATGGCGTTTCGGTAGACATTTGCAATTTAGAGGACAGTTTACAAGTAGACATCAATGAAAAAAAACTTCATTTTATAAGATAGATTTAAGTGTAAACTTACAAGTGCTCCAATAATTACGAATATGATGAAAATACGTCCTAAATAACTTGTACATACAATATCTCCATAACCGACGGTGGCCAGTGTAACAAGAATCATGTATAAACAATCCATATATACAAGTTTTCGATTATTACTTTCATTAACCCAAAAATTACCCACACGTTCAAGCTACACGATACAGGGAGGGAATAATGCAATAATATGATATACTGAATGATTGAGGATTTAAAAACCTATCACCAACAAGGTAGCAAGAATAGGCTTTATTGGAAATCATTTAATTGTAAATAAATAAGAGCCTGAACGATATATGCCTGTCTATAAGTGGAATAGGTTCAAATGATATATAAAAAAATCCTTTTCATCAGCAGAAACAAAGTGATAGCTTTACTAACTGTAATTATTATCATCAAGAATAAGAACAGCTGGCTCTATCTTTTTCAAACTACTTGGTGATTTTTGAAGACAGTGCCATCATCACCGAGATCTCTTCTAACTATTTTATCACCAATATGCAGAATTAATTACGATGACCAACAGTCGATGGCTGAGATATATCTGAGAAGTATGGTTAACACTTTTATTAACTGGAATTAAAATACAGATTTAAATCTCATGAAAACAATAGCTGTTACATTTCGAGTAAATGAAAAACGCTTCCTATCAGCATCTCAGAAGACTAGCAGACGTAGTTCCCTAATGGAGAATGTGAAACAATCGACAGTTTCATTTTGAAACATTTCATTAATTCTAGTTACGTTACTCCGACAGCATGTGCAGCGGCAAAGGGAACATGAAACAAAAACATATGCACTTCAGAGACTTTGGTGATTAGGCAGTCCAAGCTTAACCTCTGTGTACAAAAGTACAAAGTTTAATCTTTCACTTTCCTGAGACCTTAACACCTTCCCATCTTTATTCTTACTTATTATTCATAATTATTAGTTAAAGATAATATTTATATATTATATAGGATCTTTAAAATATCCCACAGTAGTCTACATGTTCATTAACTAGTATTATCCTCAATTTGTGCATAAAATAATATATAAAATCGTAACTGTTATCATTAATCACTCACAACAAATACAATACCAGCTAAAATAGTCCATGCAGCCAAAAGTCTGACAACTAAATTTACTATGCGTATAGAGCGTTCATGATTTATAATTCTCAACAATACCAGTGATTCAGGAATTCTTGTCAGTCTAGCGAAATACAAAAATCCAAACACTAATAAGAAGAGAAAATGAAAAAAAGTAGTGATTAACAATGACAGCCATTAGTTTATGTAAAATATTTTCTAGACTATAGTAAAATAGTTATCTGGATACATTCATGCTATCAGTAACTACCAGTGAATCAATAAAGACATCAAAATTTAGTATTGATCAGATGAATAAATCACTACTCAAATGGATACTATTGTTGTGGTAAATAGTAAAAACGGATAAAATTGAAATTAACACACTTTGTACAGTAGGCGTTTATAGGGAAGTAGTAATCCAGTGAATAGTCTCTTAATATTTGTATTAATGACAATACAATCCGAATTAAAGTTAGAATACTAGCACAGCCGTTGAATGCCGGCCCAGTGGTCCGATGGTTAGGCGTTCGCGCACAATACCGAAGGTCCCGGCTTCGGATCCCGCGAGGTGCAGGAGTCGTGGATGCGCACTGGTGATGAGTCTCATACCAGGACGAAATGGCCAGGTTTCTAATGGTTGTCTAACAATGACTGATTGATGATTTCCAATGTGTAACAACTATAGAAGCTTAGATGTATCAGAAATAAACACCAAAACTGTTTAATATTTCATTTGGAATCTCAAAAATCATACAAGTTAACTTACTGAACTGATACTGTCCCGTGATAAATGTTGAAAAAGTGCCGAGTATGGTACAATGATCAATAAAAGAGTATAATGACATCCACGTTGAGAATAAATCATTCGATGCAATAGCCTATATATGTATGTTTAAAATTTTTCCGTTTAGTACGAAAAAACTTATGAAAAAGTGAATATTATATGCAAATTACTCTTAAAATGAACATGATTAGAAAGATACAATTACAGCTCATTTCTATGTAGAATCTCCATTGTTCTGTGAAAGCGATACAGAAATTATTTTCTGATAACACTCTAGAAAATAAGAAATAAATAATTAGAAATATTCAAACTAACTGATGTGTATTCCATAGATATATACCCATACAAACTAAGCCTGCAAAAGTTCTCGATAGTATCTAAAATCAGAAAAACAACACAACATTGGTAACAATGAATCAGTTTACATTATCAAATATAATTTAAACAATATATATGATTAGCCTAATTAACGTGACTGTGATTACAATAATAAGCTTTAAACTTGATAAACTCAAATATTATATTAATGACTAAAAAGTACATCTTTAGTAAAATCAATGTTACTAGTTGAACACTATGAGCTTATAGTGCAATTTACCAAAATTACAAGCAGCCAAAATCATATCCTCACATAAAAATGTAATAGTAGTTGGTTACTGATTTCGAAGAAAGAAAATGTTAATCTGTCAGCTTAGCGGTTCATAAACAAGTCATATAGAAATTCTTGCAAAATAACTTAAGGATTTGTCAAAGACTCTGTCAAACAAACACATATAGAAATTAATTATTTAGGACATTTCATGTAATTATAGTTTGAATAATCTATGCATAAAATATATGACAATAAGATACACTATAATATTAACACATCGTACAATGTGCATAACCAGGATATTGATGGTAACATGTGGATACTTAGTCAATTACATAAGACAAAAGATATATCAACAATTAACGTCATCCATATAAAAGTTTAACACTAGAACAATATGGAACTATTGTAGAGTAATTGTATCATAAAAAGCTTTAGGAATATATCGATGTTTCTTATTTATTAAACCAATCTTAACAACTGTGTGCCTACCGCATGATATCAAGATCTTTTTAGTTGAATCTTAGAACAAATGGTTAAGGATTAGCATTCTAGCGTAACAAAAACGTATGCTTAACCTGGTTGGTGACTGACTGATCAATTCTCATTCGTTTATCTTTTGATAACAATTCATGATAAAAAAAACCATTTTCTGAATACAAGACCAGTGACATTCAGTAATACTGACGGTTTGAATAATACGAGAGTGAACAACAATATTTTATACTTTATACTCAAAGGTTTTACTAATAAATATTTTCTTATAATTAACATTTATACACTGGATATGTTTAATTTGATCATATACCTATCAGACAATGTTTTCTCTGTTTGTACATTGATCATGTTTTTTTTGGACAAAAGCAACAACATATTATATAGCATGCTCAGTAACATAAAAGAAAATATGTGTAAAACATACCAAAAATCTTCCAAAAGCTTTTTTCCCAGCCAATGTAGCTTTAGCATATTTTGGTAACCATAGTGAATTTTTAAATCGTAACAATTTTCGAAGATTTTCTTCATCTAGATCTCTTCTCTTTCGTCTTCGCTGAGATAGTGTAATTAAAAAGATTATCAATGCACCCATAAAAAAAGTGCCTAAACATGCTGAGAATACAATAACTGACTGTAATTCACACGAGTATAGTGGTAAATTCATTTCAAATATACTACTAAACCAGTTATACATTTGTCTATCTGACAACTAAGATACGCTTTTATTCAAAAAACATGATTTCATTTGTCATTCAACTTAATGTCACTAAATAATGAACCAAAACACGAACTACTCACATGATTTTCAATCTCGAGGTCATACATATAATACACAGCTTAAATATGAATATCATTCAATAATATTTAAATTCATTTTATCGCGTTGGGGTCATACTGTGTTCAGAAATTCTTCTACATCATAGTCTATCAAAATGATAAATTCACTAGCCATTTTCTATGGCAGAAAGAAACACAACTACTTGTTCAATATATAAAATTTGTATTTGACTTGCTTATCAACTTCTAAGGAAACAAAGTTAGAAATTTGAATGATATAAAATAACACATTACCGTATACAAACTGTATCGATAATATTTTGTCGAATTATACTGTCCAGTTATAAGTTCTCAAGGTTATGAGCCAGTATTCTAAAATTACTAATTTTTAAATCGTTTTTTAGTTAGTCTGTTGAAATACGATACTACGTCTTCAAACACAATGAATGAAATTTATGAATACAAGGTGGAAATGGGCAAAAATATATGTGAATTGGATTGATTTATAATTGTTTGTGCATTGTCTTGTTACCTATTCAAAACTGCACATATTTGTTAATGAAAACTGATACTCAGTATATTAGAAATTTTTATTTAGACATTCAAAGGATAGTAAATGGCATCATTGAATTAATATCAGAAATTTAAATAATAATCTATTTGCTAGGGTTGACTCGATCAATACTTTTTAAAATTTCTGACTTATTTAAAGCTAACGAGAACAGTCCATTTGAACAGGATATTTTTTCACTCAATTATTGTTAAAATTGAATTTTTTACCTTATCAAAGTGTCATAGTTACATTATTAGTGGTCTAAGTAAAAAAGATTGTAAAAAAAATTGTAAACTGCTGCTTGTATGATACATGTAATTAACGTATCTGAAAACTTGTTAAACTTCTTATTTCTTTAACTGGTCAGTAAAATACATACAGGTAATATAGCAATTCAGCCTACACTAAGATTTTTTCATTCATCGGCTTCAAAAATCCTGAAACTGTAATACGAACTGATCTTGTTTAAGTAAACACAGTTATTATTGAGGAACTTACCACGTGTTTGTTTAAGTATTCGATAATTTGAGCATGATTTTATCCTTCTATGGTATTATCAAAAGAATATTTACAGATTAAGAAATATTAAAAGCCTAAACAATTGGGATATAACACTGTTTGCTGTCCAGCCCACATTTAATAAGCCAGTGGGTTTGAACCAGTTTTTGTCCATTCCCTAATCGCCTAATGATTGTGAAGAAACCTGTAAAAATAGAAGTATTTCTTGAACAGATGCTTATTAGTCACAACACTCTGAGCCAAGTGAAAAATAAAATAATTTATTTAGGAATTCTAATCACAAATTTTTTTCGGCTATCATGACGAATATGTGATTGTAATGTTTACTGACAGAGTAAACAAACATTAAATTGTTATTTCCTAATTTTATTAAAGTTACAAGTAGAATGACAATGTCAATAAATATTATCGTATGATATACTGATATATTTATGGATACAATTGTGAAGTATTATTCATTTATCAGTGTAGGGTTGTGGAGATAATAGAGTTTCACTGAAATCATGAACCGACCAACGTTGGCCTCCCACTGAAAATCTGGAAGCAATAGATGGTCGTTTGGTCATAGTATGAGACTCGTTAGCAGTACTTATCCACCATCCAGGTGTACGAATCGAACCTGGAACCTTTAGTCTTAAGTGCGAACGTTTGACCTTTAGACTACTGAGTCAGAATCTAACTGTAGTGGCTCCACTTTTATTAAGAGAACGTGATTAGTTAAATAGAAACATTTATCATTATAACTAACTGTACCAGTGATTGTTTTACTGTTCGCTTTGTTTATTCGTAATCTATACACACACTTTCCGTTTGTACCGCTTTCATCTTGGTTATCCTGCTCGAGATAGTTTCGCCCATATCACTTGGAAGGATCTCGGAATTCTTTCGACACCACGAGATCGCCAACAAATAGACGTTCATTTCTGGACATCTACTTATTTGTCTTTGTTTCATCGAGAGATTATGCCTAGTAACTGGAACGTAATTGGTCTTTAGTGGTGTCTATAGTCAACCTCGGCTCGCAACCACTAAAAGCGTTTGATAAATTACCTTCAGGCTCATTTTCTTTTACCACAAAATGATTATCAGTTATTTTTCACATGAATATACAGATAGTTACCCATCTAAAAATCAACAAGAATGCTACGCTTTTCTGTAAACAGCCGATTTTCACAATTAATAATCAAAATTTTATGTGCTTTTGTTTGTTGATCTGCCTTTGTTCATTAGTAGCAAGTGATTTTTATAATAATATGGTGAAATAAGTATATCATCTCATCGTTATTATCAATCTACCATAAAGTACCAAGGAATATGCTAAGAATTTATTAAAAAAATTTCATTGCATCATGAATGTGACTACTGTCTGAAGATATTCACATATTTTGAATGCAGTTCAGTCGTAAACTGATGTCACTTACACAATAACTAAAAACAAATAGCTTTTAACAGTTGTTTGATACTTGCTACAAAACTTCGAATTATTGTCTTTCATTTGCCACATTTTAACAAGATAATTCATTATTTTTAACGTTATTTAATTGACGTAATACGATGTCTCTCATCTTACTTCATTATATCAATTAGCTTCAGTGGACATTTTAGCAATTCATCACCCAGCTAGGTAATCATTATTAAACACACAATATTCATTTACTGAGTTAATTTTCGTGAAGTTTATACATATTTCGAAGTTAATTATATCACTCAAGTACCAATAAAAAAACTTTTTGTTTTCTAATGTATCTTCAAAATTTTCATTGTTCTATAACTTTTGCAAGATTAGAATTTAATCGATACCATGTAGCATACATTAATCAGCTTAAGATAAAGTTAACATCAGTAATGAATTGTTATCTCACAGCCTATTCTCGTCAGTAAACTATTGATTACGTTGATTCATGATTATTCTCACTATTCAACAGATGATAGGTGCATGTAAACGAAGAATAAACGCAGTGTCCAGATTTACATGTTTCTAATATAAATTTGGTGAGAAAATGATTTTATCAATAACTGACTCGCGATCAAAACTATTCTTATTGCATTATATATTAATAGTCGGACTAAAATGAATTCAAGAGAAATATTTCTTTACTCAACTTGTCTTTTAAAAAATAATGAGCCCTACAAACCAGTAATAACCATATACATAAATAAGTGACGAGTTAGGACAAAATTAAATGTCAATTACTTACTCTGATTAGGAATCAAGAATTCATCTCTAAGCTGTCTTAAGAGCTGGAGCTCTACAAGTACAGTTATAGAAATATAATGTACACACTGAATCTGCCAACTAATATTCGGACATTAAAATGAATAATTTCTCAAGATACTGCAGATAAATCGATAAATCAGTATATACGTATCACGTTGAAATTTCTATTTTCTTTAAGATCTTCTTGGTAAATTCAATGCTAAATATACGAAATGGAATTATCGATTTGTTAACCAATTATCACACCACTGCAGTAATGCTGAATTATCAAAATAAGAATACCTAGGAATTTATCGATTTCAGATCAGCTTTTAATAAAGAGAAGTAGTTTTACAGGCCATGAGGTAGATAGATTACGATCAATTGGCTTCCTTCAGAAATTTAAGCAAAGTAAGCAAAACATTATTTGCCGAATAATATGAATTCATCTTAGTCTGTTACATTTTTTCCAGCTATAAATTGACCAATAAGTTCAGTGACTTCCAACCATTAATTTAATGTGGAATTTCATAAATTAAATTAGCCATCGATAATGAGTCAGTAATAAAAAATAATGAATAAGTTAGGTATTAAGCTTTTAACTGAGTCTTCATAAATGTTTAGGACGATGGTTCTAGGGGTTCTAAAGTGATTTCACAAACATACAACATTTGGAAAGAATGAGACAAACTCGTGAAATTTAAAATGCTTATCATCAAAAGACGCATATTTTGTTTTAGTAATGACGTTTATATTTCAACTCCTATGTACATGTGTCTGAAATCAAATCGAAATACACACTAACTGAAACTACTTTTAATTAATTTCAGTAGCCAAGTTACAATTGATTGAAATAATTTTTTAATTACCGTAATATGTATTCTTTCTTCATATAAAAACTGACGGCTTTTTTGATATCGATCCATAACTTAAACTCATTGTTTGCGAGACATAGAGTTCCTTAATTCCAGTAAACAAACAAACCAAATTGTAATCTGTCATAATGCTATTGTTAAAGCTGCGCTGTGAGGATCTCTGCCCTTGCTGAAGTGAATCACTGCCCGAACATATTGTTATACCATTCTTTTATTCCATGCCTGAACATGGTCTGCGTAAGAGAAAAACTGAGACTGAAAATATATCATTCATCTGACAGATAATAAAAGAACACAACAGTTAATATCAGTTTTCCTTTACATTTTGCTAACCTTGGAATCATAAAATTTTTATCTGATCTATACAATTTAATTATACTATTTTAAATAAAATGAAGTTCGAAATGGATAAAATATTAAGTAAATATTTAAGGAATTTCTCAACAGGTGTGCATTCACTAGTTTACAGGTTATCGTATCTTTTTAATGCAGTTTTTGACCTTTAAATTATCACTACATTTTTGGAACAATCAAATAATTGATGAATGTTTCATTCATTAATTTAGTGAATAATGAACTTCTATCAAATAGTAGTCAATAAAAATACTTTTAAAAAGTGATTGCTATTGAATTCAAATATGTTTAAACCGTGTGAATTTAACATTCTTAGCTTTTAAGCAATTACTATCCACGAAGAAATATATATAGATGGATATAATCTGTTTTGAAATGAAGCTTTGGTTCTTTCTGTAATAGATAAATAGATATTATCA